CAGGAGTGTTGTGAGCAAGACACGAGAAGTCATTCTGCCGCTCTCTCTACTCTGCGCTAGTTAGGCCTCAGAGTATTGTGTCCAGTTCTGGGCACCACATTTCAAGAAAGATGTGGAGAAATTGGAGAGGGTCTAGAGAAAAGCAACAAGAATGATTAAAGGACTAGAGAACATGACCTATGAAGGAAGGCTGAAAGAATTGGGTTTGTTTAGTTTAGTATAGAAAAGATTGAGGGGGGACATGATAGCAGTTTTCAAGTATCTAAAAGGGTGTCATAAGGAGGAGGGAGAAAACTTGTTCATCTTGGCCTCTGAGGATAGAACAAGAAGCTTAAACTGCAGCAAGGGAGGTTTAGGTTGGACATAAGAAAAAAGTTCCTAACTGTCAGGGTGGTCAAACACTGGAATAAATTGCCCAGGGAGGTTGTGGAATCTCCATCTGTGGAGATATTTAAGAGTAGGTTAGATAAATGTCTATCAGGGATGGTCTAGACAGTATTTGGTCCTGCCATGAGGGCAGGGGACCGGACTCGATGACCTTTCGAGGTTCCTTCCAGTTCTAATCGTCTATGATTCTATGATTAAACACATTCGATTTTTTTAAAATCTCATTTACTTTTCATTGTTTTTGTTTGCTTCTACTCCTTGCACTTCCCTTGGGCAGTGAAATTAAATTCATGATGCCACTTTTGAGGCTTTTGAAGTCTTTTCTCAAGCAAATCATTGGGTCTTTTTACCTGAATCAGTGTGGCTATGGCAACGGTACTTTCTGGAGGCCCCTTCCAAGGTTGGGGCCCAATTGTGGTGAGCACATGCTCAGACACATGGGGTACATCTACACTGCTGGAGGGGTGGGAATGCACCTTGTACAGACCTACCTGTCCTAGCTACACTCTAGCTAAACAATAAAATGAGGACACCATGAGTCCAGGCTTCATTATGGGTTACTCAAACTTACCTGGTACATACTTGTTTGTGCAGCTCGGGTTGGACACTGTGCCATAGAATCCTCCCTGCTATTTTTAATGTGCTAACTCAAGTACAACTATCGTGGGTACACAAATAACTACAAATCCTACTGCTGGCTGCAAAACCCATAGGGTGAGGCATTCCCCACCCAAAATTTAACAACATTTTAACAAAACTTAAAAGTTTGAAGTGCAGCTGCAGCAGTGCTTTCAACTCAGAATATGGCCACAGCATGAGTGCTGGGAGAGCGCTCTCCCAGCGCGTTATGTACACCTGCAGGGAAGTAGCTTACACTGGTTCACACAGGCACTTTACAGCGCTGTAACTTGCATTGTAACTTTGGAGGAGGGGCGGGATGTTTTTTCATACCCCTGAGCCAGAAAGTTACAGCGCTGTAAAGTGCTAGCGTAGACTTAGCCTAAGTAGACGAAGAGTGGGAGGGGAAACAGAAAAGTGAAGTTAACTGCCCCAAGGCCATTCAGCAAGTCAGTGGAAGAGCTTGGCACGGAACCCAGAACTCCCAAGGTCTGCCCTGTTGATTGGGCTACACTGCCTCTAAAGACCTAACCGTGAAATGTTGTGTGAAATAGGATGGAAACCCTTTCTGATGTCACTAGTAATCATTTTAAGTCTGGAAGCAGGGCACCATGGCAATACAACGCTGCTAGGAGAGGTGCCCGTGGAACACCACAGATAGCCAGGGAGACATACTCTTTGATTCCTCATATCTTACTCTGCAGAACTACACATGCCATTTAATGCAAGACAATTAAATTCCTTTTTTATCCTCCAGATATTTAAGAGCACAGCAAAATATCAAATGTGCTGATCCAAGTTGTCTCATTAATAATGCCTGCTGAGAATAAGATAGGGTCATGCTACACACAGGAAGAAAAGATAACTGTGCTTTCATGTATTTTGGATCAGATCCTTGACTAATGTAACTGGGCTTCGCTCCACTGATTCCAATAGAGCCATTGCCCATTTATACCAGAGTGATATGGCCCTCTGATTTCTAGCCCAGAGAACAAACTGTCAAAAACATATGCGTTTTGAAGAATGTGAGTTGTGGCCATAACAATTCTCAGCTCCAAACAAAAGAAAGCAGCATGTTATGAGATCTTGGCTTTTGTAAGATAATCTACATTTTCCAGTTTCAGGAGCCTATGAATGAATGTATTTTGTTTTATATGCTGCACATTATCATCGATACAGAAATGCAGACAGGCTGTTCTTAGCTAGGTTATGCTCTATTATAAGTGTATTAATAAACCTGTATTGTGTAGCTGACATGTGAAAGTAAATGGCCAAATTCAGACCCAGAGTAATCAAGTGCAAATCATTGAAGCCAAATGGTCTGAATTTAGTCTAGTAGATTCAAGTGCTTTCTTTTCCCTTTATTCTATCAATGCATTGAGCCTGCCCCTCATTTTATGTAAACAGACACACCTCCACTTATTTCAGTGAAGCTACATCAGTTTATATCTGTTGGGGATCTAGACGTTCAATTCAATACTCAGAGGTTGTTACCT